ATATCCTTAAAAAACCCAAAAAACAAAGTCGTCAGACTGGTGAAGCTAACAGTTACTAGTCCTTAAACCCACACTGAAGCATTTATGTGATAATGCACGTTCTACTGTCTGAAATATGTCTGTCGACCATCAGTCATACTGCAGGAATGCAGCAGTGCACAAAGGCATTAGAGACATGTTCTCAAATCTGCTGGGAAAGAATCATTAATGTGAACATAACAAATAAACATGGAAACTTTAACACATTACAGAGATAAATGGAACAACAAGAAAAAACTATTCCTGTTTGATGAATCAAAAAACCAACATTAGACCAAGATCCTCAGAAAGAAAACAGAAACTAAGTCAGCAGACACTGACATTATGCCTCCAGACACAGCAGACGTGAATACCACAGTGTGTGCCAGGGAAGGAAGTGCTATGTCATGCTAGCAGTGGCTAACTGCCAGATGCAGTGGCTAACTGCCAGATGCAGTGGCTAAATGCCAGATGCAGTTAGCCACTGCTTCATATCAGCTAACACACACTTAGCAGATAGATTCCTATGACTCCTCAAGAGATGTGTGTCATTGGTAGCATTACATGCAGCTGGCTAGAGTCTGTCCAGAGCTGCTGACAGGCACAGGCAGACATGTTGATGGGCCTTAAATAGATCCTAAAAGTAAATAAATCATTCATCACTACATGCATAGACCTGTCTTCCCTGTCAGATGGTCACATGACAGAATCCTTCACTTACCGACATCCCAAAGGTGTTTTTTGTGCATTACATATGATAAAATAAAATAAAGTTACATTATGATGGGTTTTTTTGAAACACATCCATGAAAATGAAGGAAGCCTACCATAAATCTACTGAGCACACGTAACACTGCGATTACTGACAGTGAATGTGTGTCATTTCCTGTTTCCACACTTCCTTTCTCACCTGTAGCCAGGAAACGATGGGCAGCCAGCAGCAGCTGAGGAGAGATCTTCACCTTAGATTCACTCTCATGTTTAAAGGCAGAGAAGTCTCTCTTGTTTTTGTTGGGTGCCACCTTTTTCCTCGTGCGATTATCAGCTAAGAAGAGCAAAAAAAACAGAAGAAGCATCATTTATTAATGATCAAATCAAATCACTTTTATTGTCACATCACATGTGCAGGTACACTGGTACAGTACATGTGAGTGAGTGCAAGCTTCACATGCAACAGAGGTGTGTAAAAATACAATAACATAAGAACAAGCAAAGTATAAGAACGGGTAAATCTGAGAATTATATGAATAAATATACGTACAATATAAGAGTGTATGTGCATTACTGAATGTGTATACTAAATATGGATATCTACATGTGTGTGAAATATACACTTCATTCAGTTAACAGAAACCTGACATGCTCAGGTATTCATCCCAAAGGTTGAACAGTAATACTTCAAAGATTTAATAGTGTTACTTAAACTGAAAGTTAAGTCTAGTATAAAGCGATAAAGCAAGACAAACAAAAGCAAAAGCAAACTCACTGTAAAGGTCGGATTCATCCAGAATTTCTGATTTGATAATCTCCTCTATGACGTCTTCCAGGGTGACCAACCCCAACACTTCGTAGAAAGGATCTCCTTCCCCCTCGTTGTTCACCTTCTGGACAATGGCCAGGTGGGATTTTCCTAAATCAGAGAATGAGCCTCATTAGTTGGATTATCAGAGGATTATTTTAACCATTCTGTAAGGCATTATAATTAAATCCACAAGAAGAAGGGTTGTAAGAATAGGGATAAAACATCTTTCCTCATTAATCTTCTAGATGTCCTATTCTAACTGATTAAAAACTTATATGAACTTAATTATAGAGTAGCAGGAGAGTAGGAGTAGGAGAGGTGCAACAAAGAGGTGCATAGAGCTCTTTTACATATGATGCAATGATTTAAAATATTACAGACAGTATTAGTACCACAAATGTTTTACTCTAAATTCCTTTCTCACTGTTTATGATCCCATGATGTTTGGTTTCTTCTGTAAACAGAGTAAAAAAAGATGAGGGAGGATAGTTTGATTTGGCACTCGATAAACTGCACCTTAAATGATGTCAGCACCGCACTGCTACACAAACAGCAGCAGGGAACGATATCAAATCAGAGATAGGTAATAAAGTGAAATTGTAGTTATGATGTCAACAACGTAGTTATGCCTTAGTAATGCTGACATAATAAATTCAGGTAAACAGCTAAATATTGTTTCAGCTCTATTTAAAATATGCATGCTCACTGGTTCATTCATGCTCTTTTAAACGATCATGCAATATAAAATATCAATATTTTATTATTGTATTAATAGTTTTTTTTAGTCATAGTTATTGAGGGTGAAAAAAAACATATTTGCTACACAACGTCGAGTCTTGTCTTGCAACATAAAAGCCCGTCAGAGTCTCTCTATCAAGACAATCATTTCTGACTATTCCTATCTGATAACAACTTTTTTCTAACATGAACTCCTCGACCCACACATTTTGCTTGCACCACAAATAGCCTGTTAATGTGTACAGGTCATTGCAGTTAAAGTTAGGTCCGGACTTTGGTCATGAATGTTACTGTACAACATAAGAACACACGTACACAATGAGACATGTGTCCCCTGCTCAACTCCTAAAATGAAGAACTCGTCACAGTGCAGATGGTCACTGGTTGGCAGCAGTGCCAAACAAGCCTTGGGAAGCTCTGAA